TTACACCAATGAAAACTAAAGGTAAAGTGGTATTTTTTACATCAATAATGAATGTATGTAGACATGAAAAAAATAACATGAAGTTAATCTGACTGTGTAGTCCTTTGATTTTCCCTGATTTTTCTGGCAGTGTGAAATGGTATACAGCATCGTCTACTTAGTTAAGTTGTTATTTTTATTATAGACCGCCTTCGGCGACTGCTTGGAAAGGCGTGGCACATGCTATTATGACAACACAGCAGCTGCACTGGAGCGACAGGGATGGCGGTATAAAGATTTCCAACATTTACAAGGAACCCTGTCTGATAATGCCCTAGGGTTTGAGTCTCAGTGTGTGTGTGGTGGGGGGGGGGGTTCAGGCCTTTGAGATGGGTGGAAAGGGGGGACAGGAGACAGGGGACAGGTGACGGCAAGCCAGCAGGCGAACTTGCTGCAGGGAAATTGGGGAAAGCAGTTGCAGTCTCCTCCGTTTCATTGAAATTGAGTGGTGGAGGGGAGGGGGGGGATGGTTTAAACGGGGGTTCAGGTCCTAAGTAGGAAGTAACAAGTTGGTAGGAGGACCAAGGAACTATCATAAAGATAAGCAGCGCAGCTGGAAAATGAATGCCAAAGACTCATCGAGTGTAATGAGTGCACTGCATGAGTAATCGAGTGTCCTGATTTGTTTACATCTAACTCCCTCCGTCCCTTCATTCCCTATTTACACTATTATCGTAATCATATGTGATTTCCCCTGTAGATGCGATTTGCTGAGCAATCATTACATTTTGTCTCTGAGTAAAAAACTTGACTTATTATAGAGTGAATAGGTCCTGAAATGCCAGTGAATGCAGTCGATAATGACCCTTAAACGATCCAAGCCTCGTATTCAGATGCGATTTATATATTAAGATGCAATATACATTCGTTGAGAAGTCATCACAAATAAGTTATTCTTAGTTATGAATGCAGTCAATAATGACCCTTAAGCGAATAAAAAATGTCAGGGTAAGAGGGACTAATTTATTTAATACAATTTGTTAGGTACTTGAAGAAAAGTAAAATAAAGTGTGAGATTAGGGGAAATTATGTTCTTATACTGAGTACTTTTTGGGTATGCATATATCATAATTGTTTTACATCTGTATTGATTTTCATTCGATACTTTGCGCTGGATGGACATAATCAGTCCCACCACTCACTCACTTATTCATTGTCCGCTTGAGTTTAATTTGCGAGTATCAGCTACTCACCTATTCATTCGCTTAATCAGTGAGTCATTCACTCAGTTATTCACCGGCAGCTGGTTGAATGCCCGCCAGGCGAGTCCTGCTCCCGAACCGCTGTCAATGTCCCTGCCATTGTCCTTCCTCAGCTGTCACAGGTGGGGGGGGGGGGGGGTTTGTTGGTGGAGCAATGAAAATACCTGCAAGGAAATTATACGAAAACTGAACAAGCCAAAAACAACGGAAGGTTGTTATTTTAGAGTTCAAGTTAAAGTTAAGCAGCGCCCGCGGCGTTCGGCGTTCTCAACGCTCAGCCAGGACTTAAGAGCAAGGACTCGCAGTGAGTGGGCGATGGAAGCTGAGGACCCGAGGACCCAAGGACGATGACGAGGACGAGGACGAGGACCAGGACGATGACGAGGACGGGGATTGGGTAGATGCGACAGCAATGAAGTGCACTCGAGATGTGAATGGGCTGAAGTGTTTTGGGTGCTCTGTTTGTGTCCCCTTTTCTCTCCGTGTCTCATTGCTGCCGTTCGCCTAGCTCTACACTGCAAAAAATGACTTCGAAATTAAAGATTAAATTATACTTTTGTGTGGCAAATCACAAATCTTGCTTGGCAACTACAAAAAACTTCTTTGGCAATATTGTAAGACACTTTTCCATGTCTGTATTTTGACTGGCAAATTTACCATTCTCTTAAGAGGGAATATTAAGAAATAAAAAATCTTCTTAAATTTATTAAACATTTACTAAAGATCACATATTTGAAGTAACTTCCAAGGAACTACATAAACAAAAGCCTCTCGAAACTTGAAGTAATAACTGCCAATCTTGCATACTTGTCACTGATTTCTTGCAGTGTATACAAGCAGCTAGGATATCCTAGGCCACGTTCCATCAAGTTGACTCCCCTCCCGCCACTCGTTACTCGTATCTTTGTGGAACAATTTTGCCTGAATGCAAGCGGCAAAATGGTTGAATGGGCGAATGAATGAATGAGTGAATGGGCATATCCCTGCCAGCCCCTCAACCCCGTCGCCCTTGTCCTTCGTCCTGCGAATTTTCCTATCTACTAGCCCATTCGAATGGCGTTGAAAAGTTTCTCTCACTTTGACTTAAGTGCTACGAAACCCCCCCCCCCCCACTCGCTTTTGGAAACCCTTCTCAAGTGAACAATTCAAGTGTTTGTGTGCCGTTGTTGCTGGTGCAATTAGTGAAGAGCGCACTATTATTATTATCATTATGAATTTTAAGCAATCAACTGCGAGAGCAGCAACAATTAAACTTAAAGTTGGCGACTTGCGAAGTCCTCCTCCACCCTCCCCCACCCCCTCCCCGCCCCACGCCCCCCATAAACCGAATACGTAAACAGTCGGACCGCGAAAAGCTATGGAAATTGAATTGGTGCTCTTCTTTTTGTTTTCACCGCGCTTTCCATCGTATTTATTTTGTTGTTTACCTATGATAATTGTGATGTTTATTTATGGGAAAAGTCAAAAGTGGGGAAAAGGCCAACGATGATGGTATGTTTGTGGAAAATTTGTTCTGGGCAAGTGAATGGTTTTTCCTATTTTTCCATTCATTTCGGTATTTTTTTGGTTTTAGCTGTTTTTCTTTTTCCAGCAGCTGAATAGTTTGTCGGAAAATCGAGTGGTGCTTTATTAAACTATACTATAATTAAAAAAAATGAATTTATGGGTCCGCCTTCTTATTTATACTTATCGATAGCCCTTGAGTCAAATTTCCCCAATATAGTTTAAAAAGTAGAAATACATAATATTTAATATTATTAGGGGTTTGCGTATTAATGCAAACCGCACCCGGATTATGTACTCTTGATGGGCGAGTAAAAGCCTATTTGTCAATCCATTGTTGGGCGTTTCATCTTATTTTAACATTCTTTGAATGTGTATTCGTATCTTTTAATTAGACCGAGCAGAACGTTGCGATTTATGGCTGGTGAGAAAAGGGAAATTGTTGCACAATTAAGTAAGCTTCCTTCGGTGCGGATATAATAAGGGGTTTTCCACCCATAGTTTCCTCCGTCTGCGAGCGTCTTTCTCTACTTCTCTCTCTTATTTACAGCGCAATCAAATTTAACTGTTTAAACAAGCGATGAAAAGATTCTGCTTTTCACCCACACATACACACACACACACACACACACACACACACACCATCGCACACACACATATGCGACGGGTGGTGCAGTCATAGTCATTGTCATTGCCAGGATAGTGGGTGGTGAAAGTTGCTGTGGGTGGGAATGGGGGTGGGTGGTAAAATGCAAAACAATTTCAGGCGAATTAGCGTAATTGTCTCGCCGCTGCTGTTGCTTCGGCTTCTGCTCCTGCTTCTTCTGAGACAAAAGAGCCAAGGAGAAATGGAGAAAGGGAGGAAGGGACGGAGGAAACAGCAGCAGGACTCAAGCTACTTAATCCTCTAATTTGTGTGTCTGTATGTGTCGGTGTGTGTGTGTGTGTGTGTGAGCCACGCCCCTTTTCTGGGCTTTCTGGTGCCCGGGCGAAGCAAAGTTTGCCCTCATTTATATGCAAAAATGTAAACCAAAAAATCAGCGAGAATGTTAAATCCAACAAAATGCATTTAACACATAAAAATTTGCATAGAAAGTGGCTTCGGTAAGCCCCGCACCCCACCCCACCCCCGTTAAGGAAACCCCATTCCCAGCTTCGCATACCGCACTATCTAAGTGCGAGCAGCAGAACAATTGAAGTTAATTTTATTTTTATTTTTATTTCCGGCCCACGCTACTTGACTATTATTACACCCAGCCTTAGAGTGTGTATGTGGTTGCCACGCCCTAATTTAGCGGGTTAATTCGGCTAACCTTTCGGTTAAAATGCGCTCTTCTAGGCGCTTCTCAAAATCTCTACTTAGGGATTATTGCCGTCTCCTGTTAATTAAGTTAGCAAATATTTTATAATTATATTAGTTCGCCCTTCTAGGCGCTTCTCAATACCTCTACTTCTTTAACACACTTTCTCCGTTTTCTCCTCAACAATTATTGCCAGCCCTTATGTATCATCCATTTTTAAGCTAGTCAATTCGATGCTAAGGTTTCAAGCTCCTCAAGATTCCTACTTGTTGGACACTTTTTAACATTTCACTTTCGCAACAGCAATTTCCCCCATGTTCTCCCCTTTTTATTTCTGTCCATTTCTTATTATGTATTTGTAACCAATTGGTTGCCAAAACCCCATGCTCTGCATTCACGCTCAGTCAATTTTTTGTGGCCACTGCTGCTGCTGCTGCTGCTGTGTCCTTTGTGTTGTTGTTGTTATTGCATGTGTTGAGATTCTCATGGAAATTTGCATACAAATTGCGTCTGGCGCGTAGGAAGCCGTCGGTTTGGTGGGCGATGGCGGGGTTATACTATATGTACTCCACACACACGAGGAGAACGGGGACAGCTGGCCCGACATGCGTATATGGGGTTAACGAAGGGTTAACACAACACAAAAAACCAAAACCAAAACCCAAACCCAAACCGAAACCGAAACCAAAAGTAAAAATAAAACATTGCCAACAACAGCAGCACCTGACAACTGTCAAATTTTGTGGGTTACCATCGATAAATAAAATGGAGGACAACTTTATGACTGGCATATTTATTGAGAATATTATTTTATAGTTTTCAAAGGCCAAATAAAAGTCAACTTTAGAAAATCAAGAAAAATCACAGACAAATTTTTCTTTTTTTTTTAATGTAAGTAACAAAGTAGCCAAATATGATTGACTTTAAACTTGGAATCTATCAAATGTTTAATCAAATCGCTTGGATTGACTGAAACACATCGCTTTTAAACTGAGAATCACACGCTGACTGAAAATGGGCAACGGTGGCAACATCGAGGACATCATCTGGACGATCAAGAACGGGGAGTACGATGAGGTGGAGCGGGTTTTCCTGGCGGGATCGCACAACGTGAACGACCAGATGGGCCTCAGATTCCCATTGCACTACGCCGCCGACTTTGGCCAGCTGAAGCTGCTGAAGTTCTTCGTGCGGATCGGGGCCGATGTGGACCGGAAGGACAAGTACGGGATCACCCCGCTGCTGGCGGCCATTTGGGAGGGTCACACCAGCTGCGTGGAGTTCCTGCTCCAGATGGGCGCCAGTCGGACGGGTCGGACGCCCGGGGGACAGAGCTACTCGGAGGCCGCCGAGCAGGACGACATCCGACTGCTCCTGGCGATGGATTAAAGTCCTCGGCGACTCCAATCGATCTAAATTCAAGGTGCAGCTTCATATGGAGATGTTATTGGTAGTGATAGTGATCTACAATGTGAACATTCATTATGTACGGTTGGCTAACTACATTATTATATTATACATTTTGAGGTTCCAAGAAATGAGTGTACTTGGAAGCCAAATCAAATTAAGTTTTGTGTTTTTGTTTCATGGTTAAGTGGCTCAACTATGTCGCTCTGTGTTTATTCATTAATATCGGGAAGTATTTACAATTAGGGTCAGTAGCAAACAGTAACAGTATTAGTATTCATTGACCAACGAAGAGCATTTACCAACTGCTCTGGGCCCATCCGCCCTGCGGAGCCCATCCGCCGGAGGAGTAGCTGGAGGCGCCTCCGGAGGAGTACCCCGATCCACCGCCATGGCCTCCTCCATAGCCACCGCCATAGCCGCCGCTCGATCCGGCGTCGGAGATGACCTTGATGATCTTCACGTTGCCACCGCTTCCATAGCCACCGCCGCCGCCGCCGCCATATCCTCCGCCGCCGCTGTAGCCACCTCCGGAGGACCAGCCGCCGCCATGACCTCCGCTATAGCCTCCTGAGGAGCCACCTCCATAGCCACCTCCATAGCCGCCGCCATGGCCTCCGCTGTAGCCACCTCCGTAGCCACCTCCGAAGCCACCGCCTGCTCCGGAATCGGTAATCACCTTGATGATCTTAACCGTGCTGCCGCCGCCGTAGCCACCACTTCCTCCGTGGCCGCCTCCATAGCCACCACCGCCGCTGTAGCCACCACCGCCGCCGTGGCCACCGCTGTAGCCACCACCACCGCCGTAGCCACCACCGCCCGAGGACCAGCCGGAGCTAAGGGCACTGCCTCCTCCGCCGCCGCCGCCGCCCAGGAATCCCGCATGGGCCAAACTGCACACCGCCAGCAAGCAGACGAAAACCTGCAAGAGATGGGCAGGAAACGCGTTAATTGGACTCCTTGTCTTCACAACAACTCACTAAGTCACACAAAAAAAAAAAAGAAAAAACAAAGAGATTCGCTTTCTTCGAACGTGTTAATCCGCGAGGTTTTTTTTAGAGACACACCTTCATGTTGAGGTGCTTGGAGATTGATTAATTGGAAGAACTGCGACTGTGTCGGGCTGGAAGGGCGATCTTCGACTGTGGTCTGCAGCGTTTTGGCCGCTGCTTTTATGGCCAGCGAATCGGATGCTCGGTAACCAGCTTGGCTCACTTAACCCTGCCCTGCCCCAACTGCCCCAACTGCGCCGACGCACAGTGGGTCCAATCGCACCCAGACTGAAAAGATGCTGATGGCTGGAGGTTGGTGCCCCCTTAAGAGCAGCTGTATTATTTTATTATTATTTTCTTCAAACGCAAAAAAACGATGTTATTATTATTATTATTGTTATGCGGTTTTTAACTGCTAAAGCTACATGCAGATAATAATTGTTTTACAGCTTTAGCAGCACCACCTTTTCATGCCCTTATATTATAATATCATATCTTAACATCCTAACTTTATTCTGAACTTATGTTCTGCCATTACAATTATAAATGAAATCTTTAATAAATCATTTAATATATAATCCAAATATTTTTTGTTCCCTACAATATTTCAGTAAATAAAATTATAATTTCTATAAAGTCGATGGCTGGTATTATAAATTCCTATGTTTGTCAGTCTTTAAATAAATTAATATATTAAAAATGTATTTAATAATGGTATCCCTATTTACATGATCTCAATTGAACTGTTCCAAAATATATGGAAATGGTAGCACTGTGTGGAGATTACTCGTGTATGACACACTAATTGCCGGTCCACGCGATGGTCTGTTCGCGTTGTGGCATCATCATCACCATAACCATTACCATATCACCATCACCATCTGCATGTCTGCATTAGGGCAACGGCCCTGACCCCACCCCATCCCGGTAACCTCCAGCTCCAGTTCCTCATCCACCTGCACCTCCACCACCCCCCTCCGTCCAGGCCATTTCATCTCCACCCGCGGCTTTGGACCCCGAGCTAATTTATGTCTCGGACTGTGTTGCAATCCGGGCAGCTGGAGCTGTCAAGTGGGCCAACCTGCATCGCCGGGTCGGCGGAAGCCCTTCCCCAGAGATACTGCACATTTTCTGCTCGTTATGCAATTCATCCAAATCGACACAAAGTTGCAAAAATAATAAACAATAGTTGCCCGCAGCATGATCCAATGAACAGGTAGCGATCACACCACTAGCCAGTGATGGGGATTTTAAATAGAGTGTACCCAAAGTCCCTGAAAATGAAGTACTCATTTTCGGTACTTTTCATTCCGCCTTAGTGCCAAAAATAATTAAAAGCACTGATTAAAAGCACTGCTAATACAAATAAAAAGGGGTTTAATGGGGCTCTTCATTTAATTGCAACTTAAGACTTTTCTTAGTAGGGCTTAGCTTTATTCCTTAATTAAAGGTGATATTAAGGTGGCACATAGTTCAGACATCTCTGTACCCGGCACATTTTCGATCTCGATTGATTCGGCCAACGCGATCGGGGCACCATTAACTCTTGGGTCAAACAGAATGCTTATTAATTGCCGGTCCCACCAACTCGATTCGGCTGCAGCCAACCTTCACTTCTCGATCTGATAGATGAGCCATACATTATCCATTTCCCGCTGATCGTCGGCGATTTCATGTTCGAGTGGATTGGCCATCGGCATCACGAAACTCGAAATTACCGAATCTGTGATCGGAGTATCTAAAGAACGTTTTGAAAGGGAATGTGTATGTATTTAAAGCCCACATCGAATAATGGATCTGCCAAGTGTTACATCATTCAAAAAACCCGATCAAGCCACACACCATTTAAAAATATTCCATCAAATTTATTTAACTAAAATGATAGCTGCTTACGACTTTTTATATGTGCTTTTTTGAATATGATTAATGTTTTTAACTAGTCATTTTCCCTATAAGCATTTTTCCCTAGGGTATATATGTTTGATTTAGTATTTCATATTTAATTTTCGGGAAGGCAGCATATAATGGAAAACATTAAAAAAAACATTTAATACATTCGCCAAAAACAATTACAGATAATATATTTCAGTTAACACATTTATTTTTGATGAACATTTCTTTTTTTTCAACTTTGAGTTATTGCCGTACAATAAGTGATTATTAAATGAAGTCTGTTATGTTTAATATGGCCTAAATAACAGTCTTATAACTGCGGAATTACCTCTTAAAAAAACGCAGTAGGTCTTGTCTTATAGTATAAAATAATATTCGACGCCAATTAATGCATTTATGTAACAGCTTAGTAATCATTAGAGTCCGCTGTGTCTGGCATTTAAAAAATATATTCATACATATGTGCAGGGAAATCGAATACAAATCGAATCGGTAGTGCTGGTAAATATGCATGCTATTAAATATATCTGTAATCTTAATTAGACACCCTATCATCTGAGTATCCATTAATTAAGTTATAAAATATGTATGCTGATGCTCACAAAAAATCGAAGTCCACGAATTTGTAGATAAAAACAAAACACGAAAAAAACAAATGATTTAAATCCGTTTTGGCTTGGGACTAAAAAACTAGTTACGGCACCATCAAATACAATAATGATGGAAATTCAATACAAGACGAAACGCATCCGCAATTATACATATATTTTGGTCGGGGGAATTACTTATCTCACAGCAGGGTCAGAATGGACATAATTACCAGACGGTAATGGTTCCATTCCCTTTACGATGCTGCTAAGCACGATTTGACCTTGAGCTTAACCCATTCCGAACTGAGGCTTAGTTGTCTTCAGCCAACAAATGATTTCATTTCACAGAATGTAGTTCCAATAGAGAGTGTTCGGAATCATAAAATTACGTAAGGCTTCAATATTGAAGTAAATGCAAATTAACCATATTTTTGGTAACAATTTGTCATTCGATTTGAAACTACTTATACGATGATTGTTTGTATCAAAAAAAGGCAAAGTAATTTTGTAGCCTTATGTGATATAATATACCACTTGAATTGTTGGTGTTACGTTAGAAATGATATGACAAACTGGTTTTTAATATCTTATGTAATTGCAACCATTCGAGTGCTTCCCAAAAAAAAAGTGTCGCAAATGGGTTAAGTGGAAAGCGAAACGGCCAAACAAAGATGCTCTGAAAAACCCCCGAACATGAATAATCATTTTTTCTGGCTTCCCAATCGAAAGACAAAGAATCAGATGGTATTTGTAGTTTTTTCTCTATATATTTTGTAAACAATTAACAAAAAAAAATAATGGGTTTCTAAGCGCACACACAAAACGCGTGCACTATCTTAAACCTAACTTCGTAACATCAAAAAGTCCAATATCGCCGCACAACTCGAACAACAGGAACAAAAGAGTTGACATCGACGCACTGGATTGCCTGGGGATCTGCTGGGATCTACTGGAATGGGCTTAGTTCCAGCCGGAACCGCCGGAAGACCAGCCACCGCCGGACGACCATCCTCCACTGGGAGCACCCGATGACCAGCCACCGGAGGACCATCCGCCGGAGTTGCCGCCATCGGCGATTCCCGAGCTGATCAGCTTGATGATCTTGACGTCCTCGGTGTGGTGATCGTGGCCATGGCCTCCGCTGGAGTACTCGTATCCGTGACCATGGCCATGGCCGTGATCCTCCTCCTGGATGACCTTGATGATCTTCACCTCGGAGCCGTGGCCGTGGCTATGACCATGATCATGGCCATGGGAATGGGAGTGGCCGCCCTCGCTGATCACCTTGATGATCTTCAGCTCCTCGGCAGCGTGGCCATGACCGCCCGAATATCCGCCGGACCATCCGCCACCGCCGTGGCCAGCCTCCTCGCTGATGACCTTGACGATGGTGGGCGGGGCACCGCCGGAGGACCAGCCACCACCACCGCCGCCAGAGGACCAGCCACCACCACCTCCGCCGGAGGACCAACCACTGCTACCACCACCTCCAATGAATCCGGCTTGGGCCAGGGTGAAACAGGCAATCAGGCAGACGAAAACCTAGTAGGACATAAATATTAATATGCAAATTCTGATCTACTGATATCGGATCGAATGCTCCAGAACCATTGGGAACTGGACATACATACCTTCATTTTGTTGTCGGCTACGCTTGGGTTGAACTGGCACTTAGCGATTAACGAAGTGGGATTGGGGAGCTGAGCTCGGAAACTGATGACAATGCTCTGCCCTGAGGCTACTATTTATACGTTGAAAATGTGGGTCACTGCGAAGAGAAATGCTCGCCCCCATCTTCGAAATCCCAGTTCAAACGTGACATTCGCTGACCCAAGCGGCATTACTAATGCACCGATTTTTCCAAGAGTCTTAATCAGTTTAGGCAATTAATCAAGTAGGTCCAAAGGTTATGGTGCCCTGAAATTCTCAACACTAGAGTGGTGATCAGAGGTGCCTACATTTTAAATATTTTAGTAACAAAACTATTTAATCCGTGAAAAGCTGCAAGCCTGTAGATGGCCGATTTCTCAATGTCATGTTAAGGTTTCAGTTGAAGTCAGAAAGAGTTAACATGAGGTCTAATTGACTTTTTAATATTATGGTAATTGTTAGAACGTCCAATATTCTAACAAATCGTTTCCTAAAACAGTAATTTAACCAGCATTTTGAACTTGACTTCGAGAAATTGGCCTTAAAAAGAATTAATAATTGTGTGCTTTCTTTTTTCTATATTTTTCATGGGAAAAAATTAAATAAAGAGAGAAAGACGCCGTCTTGGCAACCCTATTACAAACTATCTTCAAACAGCTGGTTGACCTGGACGGAAAACACTTCAACAGGTGTTCCATCGCGATTTGATTTTGCCACCGACCGACCGGTTTTTGCAATTTGCGATTCGCTATTCTCTTTTTTCGCACTAGACTCACTTTCGTGCACCAAATTGGCAAGACACTTCAGATGACCGAATTATGCAAATCTCGCGTGGGTCAAAGAGAAAGAAACCACAATCAAATCCGAATCCAAAGCCCGGCCACTTACTATTGCGTATGCACATCTGCTTAATTAAGCGCCAAACATCGCCTCCGAAATGCAGAAAGCTGGATTTCGCATGGGACAGATGATAAATACTTCCCAAAACTCATTTGGCAACTTTCTAGCCGCTGTTTGCCACTCTTTCTGGCATTGTACTCGTTAGCATAAAACATATTTATCTTTATGATTTTTTCTCGCCACACGAATCACATTCTGTAATGACTGCAAATATTTTTACTGGGCTTTAAACTTACCACACGGTGTACTTTAGTCTGTGCAACTAGATTTTTGGCCTTGCTTGCATCACCTTTATCTACTGATGAAGTGCCGGCAAATATTGATGGGATGATCAGCATATTTGCCATAGACGACACTTTGGGTTGCAAACAAATCGCTTACTGATTTGTGGATGGAGAAAAACGAAAATGAATTCCGAGCAAGTGAACTTGTAGGGAAAAGTTTTGAACAGGTTTTAGGGTTACATGTTGAGAAAGCCAAATTCAATTAATACCGAAAAGTACCATATATACAAATGTAATTAAACCATTATTTCGACTACACTGTGAGATATGCTAGAATTTTAGCCGCCTGTCCCCGACTGCCATTAGGTTCGATTTATCATCGTTATACTGCTGTTCGGCGTTTAATATGCAAATCGGGCACACGCATGAACGCCCAAACATATGCAACAAGACACGGAGCAGGCGAAATGCGATAAATATGTTGCTGCGGTCGTGTTTTTTCCACTACCAAACCAACGGACTTTTTTCCATGCCCATTCTTCATTAAAAATAATGAAAATTGAATTTAATTCGCTTGTCGGGCCTAATTATAATTATGTTAATGGCGCATGTTTTTCCACAAAATTTACACAATGTTTGTCCAAATCGTCAACGGATTTTCCAGCTGGTCCGTGTGTGGACTGCACTCAGATAGTATCTGCGGAATCATGTTGCATTCCATTACCCATCGTGACAGGGACTCTGGTTTGGTTTAGTTAGCGGGCGCTAATTGGAAGTGCTTTAAACTGATTTTAAATGGCGTAAAATAATTTTTTATTACCATCAGATAGTGGGGAATACAAAGGAAGTTGTCAATATAAGACTTTTAAAGGGGATTTTTAATTAAAACAAGAGAGAACGCTATAGTCGGGTGCCCCGACTATCAGATACCCGTTACTCAGGTAAAGGGAGTGCGAGGGAGATGGAGATAGAAACTTTGATCACGCATAACTTTTTAACGAATAATCCGATTTGAAAAATTTCTTCTACATTTCGATAGGTATTGATAAACACAATAAAACTGCATTTTTACTTTTCCGAAATATTTAAATTTTTAAAATCGTATATAAGCGATTGTGGGCGTTAAAGGGGGCGTGGCACCTTTTTGAAACAAACTTGCGCTGCGTAGGAACTCCTAAAATCTACATGCAAAATGCCAATCTTCTAGCTTTTATAGTTTCCGAGATCTCAGCGTTCATACGGACAGACAGACGGACAGACAGACGGACAGACGGACAGACGGACAGACGGACATGGCTAGATCGACTCGGCTAGTGATCCTGATCAAGAATATATATACTTTATAGGGTCGGAAACGCTTCCTTCTAGCTGTTACATACTTTTGCACGAATACAATATACCCTTTTACTCTACGAGTAACGGGTATAAAAATGTATTATGATCAGATTGAGGGTAGGGTAAATGAACTAGTCTTTGTGAGGGTGTCTCTTTTAATACAAAATAGAAATACAAACATCCAAATTAGTTTAAAATTGTATGCATTTGTTTAAGGATAGGTGATTTGTTAATATACTTTAGCTTATCCAAATCCATCAGTTGAGAGGTAATCGCTCTCTTGAACATTGTTCATTTTGCATCTTAACCTTTTCGCAATTCCTGCCATCCCCGTTGATTTTCTCTCCAGCCAAAAGTCATTCGCTTGTTGCTAATTTTCCCACTATAGTTTACCCAACGATATGGAAACAATCGCTGAGCTTTAACCAAACCAAAATCAGTGGGCCGGAGGGGTAAAGGGTGGTCGGGGGGAGAGGGGGAGTGGGCGGAAGCGGTAAATGGAAAATGTGGAGTGGCATTTCGGTTTTTGGCCAAGTTGGTTACAGCGATTGAATTTAATTAGCTTATCATGAAAGCGTATTCCACATAAATTTATCAAAATTGCTTTACACAGCAGCCGAGACAGAGGCTTCCGAAGGGGGGGTACAAATTGCATTACGACCCGCCCATTAAACTGATAAAAACGAGAGCCTGGAGTGGCGGATGGCGTTTTTCGGGAAAGGGGGTTATGGAGAGGAAAAGGGAAAGGGAAAGAAAAAGGGGAAGGGGGCTGGGCGACACTTTAAAGTTGATGGCTCGAGAGAGAATCTAAAATCAAATTTATTAACGCACATTACAACGGGCCCACTTCATAGCACAGCAAAAAGGGGATGGTGTTCCATGGGCGGAGTGCAAAGGGGAGGCTTTAAAATAATACAAAGGCCGTCGCCTTTTGTTCTCCGCCAACGCAACCGGATATATAACAATCGGATATTTAAACACCTCGAGGTTTGAAAAATACTGGAAAAAGATCTCTAATTTACAATATTAAATCACATTTACTTTTATTGTAAGAAGCAAACAATGAGTCTCAAAATCCAAAAAAGTATATTAAATTAATATATTACTAAAATACAAATATACAAATCTTAAGAATACTTTAATGTTCATAGAAATATGCCTGTAATAGTTTATATAGTTATATCAAAATAAATTTTTATAAATTCGGAATAATTAACTTACATGTTGATGCCTTTATGTACTCCATCGATTGTCTGTGTTTTAATTGAGATTATTTCACTTCAAGGTCCAATCAGCACAATATAACACTTTATTTTACCTTCGGCTTATTCCACCCAAGTGGCCGCATCGTTATCAATACACATATCCGTATCGTTATAGCCGACCATTAAGCCATGATTACTGCGCCGTGAAGGTGACACCCCATATGGGTTGGAACCCAGAACCTCAACCCCACACCCCCCCCCCCTCCCCACACAATGGGTTTTCCACGCCTTAAGCCGCTTGGCAAAGTTCGGTCGACTTATTTCGCCTTATCGACGGCGCTTTTCAGGCTTCCACTTTGATAGCTGGCCAACTGTGTTAATTGATAAGCAATCGCTAATCGCGCAACGGCAGAAGCGACAAAAAAAAAGTGGTGGGAGGGGGGTGGGTGGTGGCTATAAAAGTGCTTTTGCACCCGATGCGTTTTTGCTGTCTGCCGTCTCTTTCGACCCTTTTTGCCGTCTCTTTCGTACTCCCAGCCATTCGCTTGTTGTGTCAACGCGATTATGATGATTATGCCGCTTCATGGGATATACTATGGCAGTCAAAATAATAGCAGAGAAAATCGAAGACATAACAGCTTACTATTATCATCTCAATCGCTTGTGGGGGCACGATTCTGTGTAAAAAACACAAGAAGTCAATTCAACATTTCCAACTTTTTCAAATTGTAGATCAATAAATGTTTAACAACCGTACCAAATATAGTACGGATTTATTTAGAAAATGTTAAAAACTTTCACAAGTTTATCAGTTTAAAATCTAGCTTTATAAGTTACACATTTTGGATAACATCCTTTAAAAAAATTGAATTTACCAAACTCTTTCGCAATTACTTAATTATTATTCCATTTGATACCTAAGAAACTTTTTTATAATTAATTATTGTTATTATTTTGACCTGAGCTGTAGTATAAGTCATTAAAATGGGCCAGGAAAGTGAGGGACGATGAGGGGGACAGGAGTACATTAAGACCTTATAGAAAATGCGTTCCGAAAGGGGGAACATTGCAACATTATACGCCCGGCGATTGGAGGCATTTGTGCGTGAAATTACATTGAAAATTTAATTGTGCACACACACAAACACACACACACACACACACACACACAGCCGGCGACAAAGTGCAGCAGGTCGCAGTGCATTAGACACGCAAAATTTGTTCATAAATTAAAATGCAAAACCCAGCGAAAGTACAACGATTTACCAGCCCGTGGGTTTTGCAGATAAGAAGTGGATTATCATTGGAAAAATGACAATCCGCTTACTGACCGAGGCCAATGCCAAAGTCATTGATCTGTTGGGATCCGAGATAGGAGAGGATTGAATGTGGGTTTTTAAAATTAGCCAGATCGGATTGGAAGTCTT